CTCAGCGTTACCGGTGACATTGACCTGAGTGTTCTCTGTTTTCACAGAACTTTCTGAAGGACCTGCTGGAAAAAGCGAACAAGGCCGTCGATGACGCAAAGCTGGCCGAGTACACAGACCTGATGGTGAGACCGAGCCCGGCAGGGCTGTGGCCGAGGGCCCGGGAGGCGCGCGGCGTTCCCGCCGGTTCCCGCGCTGCTCAGCGGGACGCGCACGGCCGTGGTGCGGGCCCCGCTCACCCGGCGCCCCTTCCTCTGAAGGGCCACACGCCGAAGGACGCGGCCGTCTGGTGACGCTGCGGGCTGCAGGCGTGGGCTCCCCGGCTCCACCGCAGAGCTCTTCCCTTCTGCGGAGCTGTCATTTTTATCTGTCGAAAGATCACTTGTTTTTCTCACAAAGCCAGTGTGATTATATCGCTAAATTATATGAGTCACGTACGTTATGTTATAGATATGTAAATCACGCCCCTAGAAACTCATTAATTGTAGAAGCTCTGAACCAATTTTTCTCATGACTTAGGAAATCATAGGTTTTGTTAGAATGAGAACTTCCGGTTTATCTTACTCACCGAGCGACTGGAAATGGCTATTTCCTCCTTCTTCCTTTTGAGCCTGCTGTTTCGGAATGTTGTCTCGGTGCTTTGTGGAAGGAAACCCAGTATGTCACCTTGCTGCTGGGTGACGGTGTCAGCGAGATCTAGTGTGGGACGCTGACAACAGGGCCGGGAAAACGACGTGCACACAGGCGCTGGATGCTTTAGGAACGACTGTCAAAGCAGTTTACGAAGTCCCAGATAAAACGGTCTCATGCCCACGAAGTTAAATGATTCCAAGTGGGTAAAGTTTGCTCATTTTGACTCATTATGGCATTGGGACTATGAAGAAAAAGTCTTTGCTAGATGGATTTAAGCCACGGGCCAATACTGTGGAAATATGATTTTAATTGTTTTTTTCCTTAAATTCAGAAAAAGTTTAATTATTCAGATCAGAACACATATTTATACATACACGCTTTATGGACGGTAAAGTTACAGTGAATTTTTACCTCATGGATTTAAATAAACAACCTATAAAATGTAAGTGTATATTATAAAAATTGTTCTAGAAGACTGATAAAGAGTTAAACTTTTTAATTACCCTGAGAAATAACTCTCTAAATAACTCTCTAACTCGGTGTAACTCAGGTTTACTTTCAGCCTGTCGGCCTACTTAAGTGCGGGAAAAAAACCCACTAGAACTTAACTATTGCCTTATTCAACGTACAGTGACCTTTATTATAAAGTGGGACTAATCTTTGGTTTCAGAACAATTTAAAAAGTTTGCGCTGCGAGGACCTGTCCTCATTACATCCCACTTCTCACGGTGCCGGCTCATAATTGTGTCACGGTGGGCAGATCGAAAGGCCGAATAACTTTTGGGAAATGGGCAGTAACCTACATTTATCAATTTTCTGTTT